ATTTCTATCTGTCTCACTCACACACACACACACACACACACACACACACACACACGAGAGAGAGAGAGAGAGAGAGAGAGAGAGAGAGAGAGAGAGAGAGAGCCATATGCTCACATTAAGCTCTGAGACTTAACATCTCACATTAAATAAGAGTTTTCTCATTAAAGTGTTCTCTTAGAATCTTGTGATATCTGGGCTTCATGGGAAAATGAAGGTATCTTTAAATATCCTGCCTTAAATAATAACTCTTTATTATATTTTACCAACTTTAAGGAGCTCTAGCAATTTCTTTTAACCTGAAAATGCGTATGTTCTTTGTAATTCCATTTTCTTGTATGGAAGGAGGGAGGGAGGGAAGGGGGGAGGAAGAGAAGGGAGGGGGGAAGGGGGGGAAAGAAGGGACGGAGGGAAGGAGAAAACCACAATCTTGTTTTCTGATTAAAAAGCTAAGTGGAATAGTCTTTCTTAAAATTTGATAATCATCTAGAATCTCTGTAACATTTTTCCTATGAAAAGCAAATGAATATAGAAATAGTTTCCTCCTTTGGTTCTTGACAAACGAGGGAACTGTGCTCATCGGTTATATTTAGTCCCCGAAATTGAGGCTACTAATGGCTGTGGTTTGCAGAGTGTGATGCTGTGCCAAGTGCTTTGCATTTCTTTCATGCATTCTCACATGAGCCCCACGAAGGGTGCAGCATCAGAACAACTAACCTCTATGGAATGTTGACTCTGTACTAAACGCCTTCACAAAATATCTCCTTTAATCCTCATAACAAGATTGTGGTTTGTTATCATATAAAGAAACAGGCTCAGAGAACTGAAGAGATTTGCCTAGAGATACGCTATTGATAAATGGCAGCATGGAGATCCACCCAAATCTCCCTGACTTCAGAGCCTAAGTGCTTCTTCCTTCAGGTTATGTTCCTTTTGACAAGCAGGGGAATTGGGAAGCACTTTACTGTGAATGAATGCATTTAGCTTCCCCTAAGGGGGCAGCTAATTGCTTTGTAGTTAATGAGATATGCGGACCCAGAAAGGGTATTTCTAAGAGAGCCTGACAGTAGCAAGTTAATATTAGGAAAGGTGGCTCTCAAACTTGGTTGCTCATTAGATTCAGGAAACTTGTTTAAAACACAGATTTCTGAGCCCCACCTCCAGCTTCCTAGCCAATAACAGTTAACCATTATTTTTTTTTTTCAAATGGTCTATAAATTTACCACTTATACTTTAACAGATCAGACAATGGCATTTCTAGTTTGCATGGTTGATGCTGTGAATGGCAGTTGTCATCATGTAGCCTGCCATTGAGATATGTACAATCTGAATGATGACTGAGGCCTTTGTGCTTATAGGAATGCTGCAGGAAGGCCCACACTGATTTTGAGATATTGGTAGGAATAGTGTCTACTGTAGCATAAAACACAAAATATAGCACATAACCTGAAAAACAGGAATGGTAAATAAATATACTTTAGTGAGTAGCAGTGTGAGTTAACTGTGAACTAAAGATGTTTCATGGCCTTTAATTTAAATGCCAGGTAGGATTTTATGATACTAAACTCTGGTCGTCATCTTTATGAGGAAGAGGAGAATATTTTGTTTTACCAAAGCACTGATATATTGGTTTCTGTAGTGTTCTTTCTTATTGTTTTTATATTAGTGTTTCAAATCTACATCTAATATAATCTATCTGTCTTTTAAATTTTAAGTATATTCCCTTAAACATAGTTATTAAAACCTTAACATGTTACATCAATGGCTGAAAATCAGATTTACAGTTCTGCAATTGCTTCAACATTAGAATATTTTGTCCTCACATTCCTCAGTCTGCAACCCTCTCTGTTCTGCCTGTGCTAGTGCCCAGTTCATAGAAATTCTGGGAAAAGTAAAAGCAATGATAATAATATTGGAAGAGTTTATTATAAGAAGCAGTAAAGAATTAGTAGCTGGAAAATGTTCTATATTTTAAATTAATCCTTCAGCATACAAAATTCATCATAATCTCATATGTAGATTTACCTTCTGATAAACAGGTGGTCCCTGATAAAATAAACTGGTGGCCCATGACCACAAATAAGGCAAGGTTCTCTGGAAAAGATATTCATTCCATTTATGAGTAGCATCTGTTCCAAGAATGTATAATATTATGGCTCCAGTGAACGCTGTATATAGAAGGGGAAAAGTTGGGATGGATTTAATACTACAGCTGTGACTAGTTAGGTATGGCAACTTTCAGGTATTTGGTGGTTTCAACAAACGTTCTAATACACATTCCAGGCATCAAGAACCATAGGAAGGCTGTAAAAATATTTAGACAAATAACTAATATACTCACTGGCTTGAGAAGACTAGTAAGTACATTCAGTTTCCTGCTGGCTTGAAAACTGCTCCTCAGTTCGTCGTCTCAGGGTGGAAGTGCACCATGGGTTCTCATGCAGGCGCGGAGGCTGTAGTGATGACACGTACAGAAACGGGGAGCCCTCTGGGGCCTTATCAGTGACGGCTGGGAAAAATGGGCTAAGTTATCAGGGGAGGTGGGTGACAAAGAAACATTGCAGCAGTTGTCAGGGCCTTACTAACCAATTGTTCCAACCAAATGATACTGGCTTGGAATTTACTGTTACTTTTTTTTCTTTTTCTTTTATTAAATACATTTTATTGATTTTTTACAGAGAGGAGGGGAGAGGGATAGAGAGCTAGAAACATCAATGAGAGAGAAACATCAATCAGCTGCCTCCTGCACACCCCCTACTGGGGATGTGCACACAACCAAGGTACATGCCCTTGACCAGAATCGAACCTGGGACCCTTCAGTACACAGGCCGACATTCTATGCACTGAGCCAAACCTGTTAGGGCAATTTACTGTTACTTTTTAACTATTACTGATGAAAAGCTGACTTTCATGAATGGTTTCTTCTCTCAGACTTATGCCTTACTATAAACCACTAATAATTCTCTTTGGCATCTCCTTTTGGATTTTTAAAAAATGTTATTTGCTTTAGGAAGTTTAATTTTTGTTGGATTAAACCAAACAAATAAATAGCACCCAATCTGTTCCATGTATATGTATCACCCAAGTACTTACAAGGCTCATAAACAGAGTTTGAGGACAATAATCTGAGTTTAAGACAGAACATGGAAAAAAGCAAAAGTGAAACTCAAAAACAGTTTTAAAAGAAATGAACCAAAAATTCAAGAAAACCTAAACATTTTCTAAAAGTTCTGGCCATTTTGTCCTTTGGTAACCCTCTTACCTCAGCTAACGTTTTGGCTGTATTCATATGGTGAGGATTTATAATTCAGGATTTGCACAATGTGAGTTTAAATGACCACTTTTTACTTTGAAGATATTCAACAATGCAGTTCAACAGACAGTTGTTTTATAGCCGAATACAGATATGGTGCTGGGTTGTGAAAAACAGAGGAATTGATTTGTTTCTGGGTCTTGCTTTATAAGGGTGACCAAGTGACAACATGGAGGGGTCAATGCTATTGAAAGAAAAGTTTCAACTCACGGTCCCCCTAGAAACAAGAGGCATGGAGTGCCATGCAGGCCACAGAGGGAAGCACCAGTGTCAGGAAGGCACACGGGGAAAGCATAGACCTTAGCCTCTATTAGGGGTCTCTGTGGAAAAGGCGAAGTGGGGCTGGGAAAACAGCTTAGGATTGGCTGGTTTGAATAACTCTGGGGCTTTGAGGCATAGGGGCCTGAGTTAGGGCAGGGAAAATAGTGGCTTAGTGTGGAAGAGTAGATGAGGAGGTGGTTCAGAGTATGGCTCTTGATTGCAGGGGCGCTGTAAACAACTGTGGCCTTTAGTCTGGTCCTTTAATTAATGGGTGGCAAGTAGACAAATACAGAACCTAACAAAACAAAGTTAGGGCAGGGGTGAACAGTTCCCCCAGGAACTGAGAATCTGTTACCTGAACTAAATCTGTATGCCAATAAAGCAGATCCAAGGTATACCATGATCAATGCTATGTTAGCAGCTTAAACAAAATGCTGTGGGACTTATATGGAGGCAAAAAAGCAAAGATATGGAAAGTGAATTTCTCATATGGCAGATTTACATTCTCTTCAGTGCTCAACTAGAATCATAACTTCAAAATCATGCAACCCTGGCAATAAATACATGGAAGAACATGGAAGAGTCAAAGCCTACCCAAGTATCCAACATATAAGAAATGTTAAATGAAAGGTAATTTTCACCTCTTCCTCCCAACCTGGTGTCATTTTTGTGTTGCTGTATCTTGTTATCACTGATGTAATAACACACTGATATGCCATTTCTCCCAAAATGAAAGCTTTTTTTCTTCTTCAATTAATGTTGGTGACTAACGTTGTTTTGTGGCTGTTCACATATTTCCCAGTTTTTAAATAAAAACTCACATAGGGTTAAAGAAAATACTCCAGTTAATTTTGGTTGGTTCTTGATTAGCTGATGTGTGATGGCTGGCAGACAGCAGCCCTGGGTGGCCAGATCTGGCCATCCCACTGCCTTCTGGAAGCCACATTTGCATCACCTTTGTACCAGTCGGATTCTAGCCAGCCACTGTCATTCCCTGGAGGACAGGAAAACAGGGCTTTCCTTATGAATTTGGCAAAGAATTGTAGATTGCAAGCAGGGGGTTATTGGGAATGTTCTGTCAACCACAAGTAAACAGCAGCCCTTTCCTTGGATGAGTTGAGATAGGGCTTAGGCGAGGCTGGTTTCCATTAATGTATAGCTTATGGAAGAAAAAGCTGATGAAGAAACAGCAAATACTTACAGATTCATTCTCCTTAGAGTGAAAGTATATGATTGAAAAATCTTTATTATTCTTTTCTTAACCCCTAGGGGTATAAAGTTTTCTGTTTGGGAAGTGTCAAATCTTCTAAACAACAGTTAAGAAACACCTCATGAACTTATTCCAGAGGGACATTGCTATGTTACTTTTCATCATCACACAATGATGTCCATGGCTACTGTTGTTTTTTTTTTTAAATGTTTATTATATACCAATCATTTTGTTAGACTCTTGACACAATATTTCTATTTCTTGAGCTGTATCCCTGCTTATCATTTGGGCATGTACTTCCAAGTCCAGAGTTTAGAGTCTCAACTGTAGGCTGCAGGAATTAGAAATTAAATTCTGCTTGTGTTCATTGTTGATGAGTCCCAGGGGCCCCCACCCGGCTCTCCTGCTTGCCCCCGACCACCACCACTGAGTTAGCCCTGAAGTAGGTGGTCCATGGGACACGCTTTGATAAACAGATTTCATGGCTAAAAATAATTATGTAGTATCACCTCTGAATTAATATACAACATGTCCATATCTAAAAACAAGTTTTATTATTAACTATTGACATAAAACTCTCTATGTTTTTTCTATAATCCTTATTGTTAGACTTTCTAGAATAAGCCAACCAGAGAGACTTCAAGGTTTTATCAAGAATTTAATCTTTTTTTAAAAAAATGAGAACTGGTAGTGTTTTTCAGACTAAGAAAAATATCAAAAAGAATCCAAGTCAGCTAAAGGAAACCTCCTAGTAGGTCATCACGGAAGGGCCCTGTAGCAGGAAGGAGGGTCATTCTCAGGTCCTTGAAAAGACAGCAAGTTAAAGAAACAAGGGTTTTGTCTTTTTTAAAAAAGAAGGCCATTAAGCATTCTTTCTCTGGTCATTGCACATCTGCACCATGACTCAATAGTCCAAGTTCCTTCCTGAGTCTGTGAAATCCCTTCTCCAGGACTCCGAGGAAGGCGGCAACATTTAGGCTCTTTAGCTGGGCTGGATACTAGCACATGCTCCCAGGTAACACTGGATTTCTAGGAGCATCACACAAAAAGTTGTTTTAAATCATATTTTCTATTTTAAACCACATAGACAGTCAATATGTTTTCCTGTGTTTAAATCTCCCACAGTCAAGTTGGTGGGAGAAAGGGCCTGCAGTTGCATGGAAGCGGGAGTGGGTGGTGATTAGAAGGAATGTGATCTTCCAATGGTCAAGATAAAACTTACCCATGTGCTTTCTGAGTTACAAAGACCTGACTTAGGAAGAAATGTCCTTTTATCTGAAAACATAATAAGAGTCCTGGTCAGTGTGACTCAGTGGTTGGAGTGTCAGCCCTTGCAACAAAGGGTACAGGGTTCAATTCCTGATCAAGGGCAAGTACCTGGGTTGCAGGTTCGATCCCCCACTATATCCGGGTGCGTTTGGGAGGCAACCAATTGATGTTTCTCTTTTATATCGGTCTCTCTCTCTCTCTCTCTCTCTCTCTCTCTCTCTCTCCCTCTCCCTCCCGCCCTCTTTTTCATCCATGCTCTCTTATAAAAAGCAATGGGAAAAATATCCTCAGGTGAGGATTAACAAGCCAACAACAGCACATAATAAGAATATACATATGTATATTTGTATATGTGTGTACACATAAAAGATGTAAGATTTTACACACACACACACACACACACACACACACACGGTGGTTTCTCATGTCTCATGTCCACCATCTCATGTCTATGTACTGGTGATTTGTGTGGGAAATGGCCCCATGGATTTCCTCGCCAACTTTTATCTTCCTTTGGGGAAGCACCACATTCCCCTTTGCCTCTGTCTCCTTCCATTGTAATGCAGTCACCCACTCTTACTCATGTATCTTTTCAACCTTGTCCCCCTTCCTCTTCATAATTCTACTCCCAAATCTTCAGAAAATCTCCCACTTTTCTACCTGTTGCCCAGCACCACCACCTCCTTCTATCCTCACTTTTTCCCATTCTGCTGTTCGCTTGAAATGGCCTTCATCATGGCTGGAGAGCCTTAGAGCAGGGCTAGTGATATATCAGAACTGAAGAAAGAAAGAAACTAAACATTTTGAAATGAGGGCTTCATGATAAAGAGCCAGTGTCAGGAAACCACATAAATCTTTAAAATTGTGAAGTTGTCTTTTTCAGAATCTGGTATTTCAATCTCTTAACCTTCCTTACCAGGCATTCTACTGAAACACAGTTTCTTCTTAAGCTTTATTTCGGGTGCTTTCACTTTTTCCTAGCATTGCTTCGATGTTGTTTTCTACTGCAACTATATAGCATTTCAGTTACATTATAAAACTTCTGTGAGGCGACCCAGAAAGCCAACAATATAACATTGTTCTATGGGGAAAACACGCATCCTAATCGCAATTTGCTGGCTGATTAATGATCTTGTGGAAACATTTGGCTCCATATGTGTCTGCATTGTGCTGGGAACATATAGGTGCTCCACAAAAAGCTATTTCATCGAGGACAAATGGGAATTGTATGACATTGAAACAATTTATCCCCAAAAGATGTTTTATGAAAAGAAGTAATGTCACCATTGTTAATAACTGCGATTTCCTGGAAAAGCTGTAAAATCCTCCCCCACACACACCTTTTTTTTTTCCTCATTGTAATCCTCCAGCCTGGAGATGATACCTTTTGTCTCTGCCTAACCACAACTCTTTAAGGTGCTTCCCATCAAGCCTTCCCTGGTGGCTCCAGCCGACAGAGCACTATTAGCACAAGTATTAGTGGCAGCAGCTAACATTTCCTTCATTCTGCCCTCTTACACTGTACACTCTTCATAGTTAGGGTTCAGAACAAGGGTCTTGGGCCAGATTCTGCAACATGGTAATTATGTGCTTCCCTGAGTCCCAGTTTCCACCCACGAGAGAAATGTGTGAAGATTAAAAGAAAATAACACATATGAGGGGTTAAGACAAGGGTGACAGTGAAAACAAATTTAGGTATTATTGCTTTATTGGTATTATGGCAGCAAGCACAGCCCTAAATCCATGGTGTGGTTAAATGTTTTTCTAAAAGTTTGCTCTGTAGGGACTCCAGTATGCTTTGCTATCCATTTTTGCCTCCATGGACTTGACTTAGCCCACATCCTGTCCTTACCCCCAACTTGTCAGCAAAGTTGCACATATTATGTCTTTTTTTTCTGCTCTCCAAAGTGCAAGGACTTTTGCCTCTTAACAGACCTGGCACCAGTCTAATTTCTGCTGCAAGAGAAACTTGGAGTGGTTGGGAGACTGTAAATGCTCATTCTGATCAGAGTGCCTCACTGACCTTCTACTCTTGGCTTTAGGTAAATCCTACTCCTGGCTTCAGTTTCCTCATCTGTCACAGCTGACCTCTAAGGCCTCTTCCAGCCTTCAGCTAAGATTTTCCTTTTTTTTTTTTTTTTTTTTAAGAAGGAAACCACAAGCACTAAGCTATTGTCACCATCACTGTTTTTGCTCTTTGTGCCTTCAATGTGTTTCTGTGTGTGCTGTATACAGAGGTGTTCGTGTGTCTACTTCATGTCTTTGTGTATGTCTGAGTTTGTGTGTGACTGCATATGAGTGTGTGTTTGTGTGTGACTATATGAATGTGTGCGTTTGTGTGTGACTGAACATGAGAATGTTTGTGTTTTGTGTATAACTGTGTGTGTGCA